GGCGGGGGTAGCGTAGGGGTGGCCGGCCGGTGACACCGGGCGTCTGAGTCCCTTGGGCAGGAGTCGGCGCCTCCAATTGTTGTGGGCGATTTCATCGCCGCCGATTCCTTATTTTCAAATATGTGGGGCTGTGTGTACACAACTGGTAGGCTTTAGGACACAACAATGATCTAGGGTGTGGCGCCGCGCTAATTCCCTGCGCGCCGCGCCCGGCGGCGCAGCGCGGTGCAAAAAACACACAGGAGCCGGCCCCCAGCCTGCGCCGTCCCGCCCCTGCTCGCTGCGGCGCTGCAGTGGGCCGCCTGCCCACAGTGTCGCGTGCGTGCGTGCGCGCCCCGCCGCCAGGCGCTGCAAGGAGGGCAGCTGCGGGGCCAATGCGCAAGGGGCTCCGCTTGAGCCCCTCCTCCCATTCATCTCAGAGCTGAGTAGCAGCCGCATCCTGTAACAGAGAAGCCTGCTCCTGGCCACACAGCACGAACACTTGCAACGCGTGTGTGTGTTAGGGGGCTGGGGAGGTCTGGGCAGCTGTGCGTGCCGCGCTCCTGCTAGTGCTTCGAGGGGCGGCTTGCGAGCTGGCTGGGGTTGAGGGTCTGGTCCAGGGGGTTACAACCGCCCGCCGCCAGCTGGCGCGGGAAGAGAGCGGGACGGCGCGGCTCGGGGCCGGCCCCCGCCGCGCGCTTGGGGCGTGTGTTGCTGCGGTGTGGCGGCCCGCACTCGCGGGCTGCCAACGATGCCTGATACTACAGTACGCCACAATGATGCGTGGTGCCCGCTGCGACGGTGCAGTAAAGTAAACTTCTTCTCGGAAGGACTTCACGGTGAGAAAAAAGGAGACTTCACAGTGGGAAGCCGGCCACGACGAGCGACTGAACCAGACCGCAGAGGGGGTCTGGCGAGCCAAGGGATTGAGAAAGCACCGAGGGATGGGGGCGGCGCGGGGGAGGCGGCCGGACGGAGCCCCGGCAAGCTCGGCCGCAGCGGAGGGCTGAGGGCCGCCCAACACACAGGCTGCGCCGGGCAGGCCGAGGCGGCGCGGCGGTGGGCCCGCACGCGCCAGGGCGCAACACCGCAGTAAACAACAGGGAAGTGCCATCAATCGTATCTAAAAATACGGTACACACGTGTGTTGGTTGAAGGTACACACAAACGGCGCGCCGGCAACCCTAGTGCGTCCGCATGGCGGCTGCGGCGCGCACCGCAGCCGCCGCAATTCTTAACTATCCCGAAACCCCAACCCCACGCGCGCCGTGCGGCGCCTTGCCTCGCGGCACGCCTCTCTCGATCGCGACCACGACCGCAAACGCCCCCGCTCTCGGCAGTGCCGCCCGCGACCCCGCTGCTGCCGCTCCGACGACCCACAACACCGCAACCTGCAGCCGCGCCCTCGGTGCGCCGCCGACCTGCACCCCATCGCGCCCGCCCCGGCCCCGCCGACCAAGGGGCCGCCGCGCCGCGCCGAGATCCCCCCATGCTGCCGGCCGCCTCCGCTACGCGGGCCCAGACACAACGCACCGCCTCATCGCCTCACGGCCTTCGCACTAAGCCCGCGGCCGCGCTTCGCTGCCGCGAACGCCCGCGGCGGGCCGCCTCGGAGCACATTCAAAAGCCGATCCGCTTCCCCGGGGCGACCACTGGCCCGTCCTCCTGCGACAGCGGCAGTATCTCTTTCACGTACAGCTGGCTGTTGCGCGCCGCGTTGACGCGGCGGCGGCGCGCCTCGGGCAGCAGCTCGCTGCCGGCCGCGGGGCCGGCGAGGCGGAAGTCGCGCTGTGGCAGTTGGGGGGCAAGGGGTGGGGGCGGGCGCGGTTGCAAAGCCGTGTTGACATGTTTCAAGATTGAGTCACGATTTGGATGCCGGGCCAGTTGTGTAGGCCTGAGGGTGTGCTGGCAGACCCACTTGGAGATGGGCAGGAAAGATACATGATTCGAAGGATCGCAAAGGAAACATCCAGGATCTCAGACTTGCAGGGTCGGTGCGGCTCAACCCTCAGAATGAACCCCTTCTGTCCTCTGGCCCCAAAACGAGCAGCTGCACCAGCACGCACACGCACAACCAAGCAGATGAACACACATTTGCACACATGCGTGAGTTGCGTGCCACAAACACACACATACACACACACACAAACACACACAAACGCACCCAACCACACGCGCCCTCCCCGCACCTGCATGAACCAGTCCGCAGTCCGCGTGGTGAGCAGCACCAGCCGCGTGACGCCGCGCGCGCGCGCCTCCTGCTCAACGTAATCCAGCATACTGTCGCCGCGGCCGGTGCCCCTGGGGGGGGGGGGGGGGGGGGGGGG